TATATATATATATATATATATATATTGTATATGTATATTGTATGTATGTTGAACTTATCATGCTCTAATCGTGCACGTGAAAGTCTGCATATGGGCGCAGGCTTTGATCTGAGGAGAAACCTTTGTAGACACTGCAGATTTCAGAATTTTGATGCCATGTATTTCCATAGTAAATCAGCCTATTGTGCGCTCTATTGTATGAGCTGAGACCCGTGTGGATGTGTATCTGTGTTTACTGCCATTTTCATTTCCATGGCCAGGCCGTAGGGTAGGTATGCTACTTGTATCGAAGCAGAGAGAAGAGTGGCACACATTCCAACTATCATGAACACATCAAGTACTAATCGATAAAGAAATATTTGGATTAAAACGGTCTAAAGTCGGTTCATGTGACTGGCAGTTAAAAATTCACAAGGAAATGAGTCATGGAATCATCTTTTTCAAGCAAGTTTGTTTCAGTTCCTAATGCCACCTCATTACACCCATACAGCACACTATGGTACCAAGACCGCCATTGGTTCCACAAACCGTTATATGTGATTGTCTCAGACATTTGTGAGAGACCGTTAATTATTGCCATTTCATTTGTCGCATCTTATTATAAAGTTGACCTTTAATTAAGGGAGTCATGACCTCAAGCTATGATGGATGGTAATCTGCATAAAAGGGGAGACTGATATAAAATGAAACAATAATAATTCAGTATAAAACATTTTATTTCCTCGTGCTCTCGGCCAGAGGCAATTGACTAGGTAACATCGGATAAATAAACATGTCATTAAAAATCGAATAAATGCATCAACTGTAGAAAAGAAAAAAAAGGAAAAAATATATATAGCAGATTTTCAAATAAATCAACAACCGAAGTATATATATAATATACATATATAATGATGATGTGTAACTTAAAAACTAGACTCACAGACACTGTCGATAACATTGATAAATGGCAAAAGCAGAAAATCAGTATATAATTAAGATTATGTAGAGCACAGTGACCTATACACACGCATGTATTTAGCATTCATACAGAACTGTCTTATTAACTCTGGAGTAGAAGAACAATGCGTCTGAAAAACGACGAAATTGGATGACCGTTTCAGGAGATCGACCGTCGCTTCCGGGCGCTGAAAGGCGTTTCATTGTGAATTTTGGATCTCTTTTTCTTTGGGATTATTACCTTTGGAGAAGAAAGGGACAAAAAGAGAGAGAAAGGATTGATTTTCTCTTCCTTTCACTTTCTTCTTCGTCAAATATCAACGAAACGATAGTCTTTATCTCCTGTGTCTTCTCTTTTTATGTTTTATTTCTCATTATTCTTTAATATATCCTCCAGATACTCCAAAATCGGTGACCTGTTTATCATCATAATACAGCTTGGTATAGCGAAGTATAAAATGGATTAAGTTATGTCATTGGCACAGCCGTTACTTAATCTTAGTGATCACGTATGACTAAATAAAAAATCCCGAGGGCTGTCGAGCCGTTCCTTGCGGCTGGCGCGACTCGCGGAGGAAGGAGAGAGAGAAGGAAGGAAGGGAGAGACGAAGAAAAGAGGGAGATGGAGAAAGTGGGGAATGGGGAGTGTACACATAGATGCAGAAATAGATAAGGAGAGACAGTCGACGGAATGATGATAGGTAGATAGATAGATAGATAGATAGAGAGAGAGAGAGAGAGAGAGAGAGAGAAGAGGAGAGAGAGAGAGAGAGAGAGAGAGAGAGAAGAGAGAGAGAGAGAGAGAGAGAGAGAGAGAGAGAGAGAGAGAGAGAGAGAGAGCCGGCCACCCCGAAGGGGGCGTGTCCACCAACCAGCCGGGACCACTGAAGCACATTATACCAGCTGCAAGCTCGACTAACTCTATCAAGCACCGGATCCAGGAAACATTAGCTTTCAGTAAGCCTGGGGAGGAGGGAGGGAGGGAGGGAAGGAAGGGAGATGATACTGGTAAATATAAGGAAAAAAGAAAGAGACAAAACAAAAGGAATGAAAATCATGATATCACGAAATTACAATAATTTCATAGTGGAATGTATGGTCGCATCATTTGTCCCCCAGAAGAATACACATGTATATAAAAAAGCTTCTAGACAAAAAAAGAAGAAAAATGGGTCTTTTTCACAGACTTTTAGATGCTGAACAATAACAACAAAAACGTCTTGAGGAAAACAAAATCTTATACATAGAGTGAATGCCCAAGAAGCTTGTAAAAAGGCTACACAACAATAAACAATATTTTGGAGGTTTAAATGATACATAGCATGGATGAATGACTACGCTTCGAGTCGTAATCACTGTTCAAGAAATACTACCCAAGGCTTGAGACGGAGATCACTCTTACTAGGAAAGACCTTCGCGAATCCAAGAAACGCCAAAGGTTTTCGCACTACTAGTCTGAAGTGTCTGACTGAAGTGACGTTAGACGATGTGATACAAAATCGTCCTTGTATTCTAATCAATACCGGTTTCACACATGTCCTTATTCCCTGATTGGTTTGCCAAACGAAATTTAGGGATGAGAGATATCAAGATAGTTTACATCATGAAACACACTGTCCACTTGTAACCTGCCGTTCCTGGGTGACTTCAACACAAACCACTGAACACTAAAAATTCAACATTTTTTTCTTATTAAAACATTTCAAAAAGCTTTTTTTTTGGATTTTTAAAAACATTCTTAGATGCTGTACAAATAGTTCGACCGGTGTTGTAAGGTACAAAATATTTCTTCTTTTTCTTCACCATATTATTAAATCTAACATTGGAAATGCTGACTATAAAGACCTCTTCACAACACGTTTCTTACAATAAACACGAATTTCAGATCTTTTCAGCTTTTCACAGTTTCAGGAGTTGACACCTTGACAGAACGGAAGCAAAGAGAGGCCGAGTTCCGAGGGAGCTCAGCAGAATTCAAGGGAGAATACAAAATCAGAAAGACTCAACAGAGCAACAGAAGAAAGAGGGAGAGAGAGAGAAAAGAGAAAGGTAGAGAAGGGCCGGGTGTGGAAAGGAGGAAGAGAATCCTCCTCCGGACATCCCGCCCAACTCCTTCGGAATGCATCGCGTTGACTAGTTCCTATTGAGCCTGCAGAGTCCCCTGTGGCCGCCGTTCGGGAGACGCTCAGAACGGCCACAAATCTGGCTCCTCCGACCCACGTGAACAGGAGGCGTGGGTCCGTCTTACCAAGGTTCGGAATGAGAAACAGAGAGAGAGAGGCATTTTCACACCAAGAAAATCCACAGAGAGAAGAAAAAAATCCTAATAATAATAAAAAAGAAAAGAAAAAGGAGAGAAATAAAACAGAGTGAGGTTGTCATGTTCCTTCTGTGGCGTGAGGGAGTTGCAGAAACTCCTCCACCGCTTAAATCGATCAAAACCTAGGATCTGTGGCAAAAACGCGTGCACGCGGACACGCACATTTATAATAATAACATCTAGAGGTACAATCCTCTCAACACTTGAACAAAAAATCACAGTTACAAGAAAAAATGTTCTTGGCAAAGTAGTTTAGCTTATTTAATGTTATCTATGTACACACTTTACATTATATACACAAAGTACGATCTAAAATAATGATGCCCATCTTTACATGTATTATGAAATGTCGTCCTAATTTGAGTGTGCGTCGCTTCCTTAAAAACAGCTTCTTACACCTTTCATGAATCTCAACACAAATTCCGGCCTCTCCACCAAGCACACTCCTTGGGTTATTCTTATCATTGCACAAAGCTAGAGATCTTCACTTCGAGTTTTCGTCGATATGTTAAGTAGCGCAGCGTCGCCAGCAAGGGATCCTGCCGGGCGCCGCGGGGGAGGCGCCGCAGTCCTCGGCCGTCCTCCCGAGAGGCGGCCGACCGCACAGTCCGCTCTCCTGCGTCGCCGGCGGCCAGCGGCTCACACGTACTCGGAGGGCACCGGCGGCAGCGGCTGGTCCTGCTTGCTCTGCCCCACGTACACGCCTCTCCGCTGCGGCCCCTGCACTTGGCGGCTCGGCAGGGGCGGCAGGGGCCTGTGGCTGCCCTCGTCGCCCTCCTCCTCCAGGTTGTTGTTGAGGCCCGCGGGGGCGCCCGGGCTCGCGTTGGCGTTGACCGTCCCGACGCCCAAGGCCTGCGGGGCGCCCAGCGCTGCTCGGGCCTCGTTGATATTTTTGAGGTTGCCGGGCAGCGTCTGCACCTGGCTGGCCGTCTGGATGACGTTCATGTTGGGCTGCAGCGGCGGCAGCACGCCCTCCACGCCTCTGTTGTCGAGGGCGACGTGCTGGGGCAGGAGCTCGAGGGCGAGCGGGAGGAGCTCGCGGTTGTGGAGGCTGGGGTGCAGCGCCAGGGCCCGCGGTGAGCCCCGCGTCGCGCAGGGGCCCAGGCGCTCGGGCCGGCCAGCGCCTGGGGCCCGTGCCGCTCGCCGCCCAGGATGTGGTTGCTGATCATGCTGACGCTCGCCGAGATGTTGGCCGGCATGAGCGAGCGCTGCAGGTTCAGGTTGTTCAGCTCCTCGTTCTTCCTCTTCTTCTTTTTCTTCTTGTTGTTCTGCGTGTCCGACGACGACACGTCCGAGTAGTAGGCGGACGAGGGCGTGGAGGTGGAGCCCACGGAGCTCTCGGGCTGCTCCAGCCCCGCCTCCGACAGCACGTAGCCCGCGTTCTCGTACGTGCCCTCGCTGATGTACGCCCGCAGGCCGCCCGCGAGCGAGAGCGGGCGCAGCGGGTCGGGAATCTCGGAGTAGGTGTTCAGCGAGTACGGGTGGTACGACACGCCGCTGGCCGCGCTGCCGGCCGGCGTCGAGCCCGACGTCGAGTTGAGCTCGGCGTAGACGGCGCTCTGGGCGTCGGCGTTGACGTAGGGCTCCTCCGTGTAGGAGTTCTCGGAGCCCTGCGACGACGCCGGCCGCAGAGGGCGCTCCTGCGAGGACCCCCGCCGCCACAGCTTCATGCTCCAGCCCGTGTGAGTGGTGCCGCCGCCCCGCCGCCGCCGCCTTCCTCGCCCACCTTGCCCGCCGCCTCGCCCGCCGCCACGCCGCGGGTCGCCGTGCCGCCCGGGCCGCTGGCCGTGGCGCTCGCGCTCGAGCCCTTGGTCCACGTGCCGCGCAGCAGCATCGGGCACGTGTCTGCAACGGAAAAACCATCTATTAATCATCCGTTTTATTTCTATTTTACAGTTCACAGTTATACTACCAAATCTCTTCTCTCTCTCTCTCTCTCTCCTTCTCTCCAAGAGTAGAGTAGACAGCAAATTGCATTCCATCAGCACATACTGACGCAACAGCATTCGTGATTGTGGACTCAAAAAGAAAAAGAAGCACAGAACCATAAACAAAGACGTTTTTTATTCGAGACGAGAGAGAAACATTTTCCCCAAATGATAAAAATCCAGTATTTCGTCGAATGGTAGGCTATAGGATGAGGCAAAAAAGAGGACCATAATTAAATTTGTCAGGATCCCACTGCATTGGGTATAAAGTTAATGGAGTCAGAGCCCTCCCACGCACACACACACGCCCCCCCCAAAAAAAAAAAAAAAAAAAAAAAA